CAACAGCATGAAAGAGTGACCCTAGGAGGATGGATCCATATCCACACGTTACACGGATAACTCACGTGCTAATAATATCAATAGCTGAATCCGCACGGACAACTCACATGCCAATAATATCAATATATGGATCAGCACGGACAACACACGTGTTGCACGGATAACTCACGTGCCAAAATAACAATCCGTCCGGCATGGTCGTAGGCTCAATATCACAATTCTCCACGCATGGTCACAAGCACAATAACAAAATCCGCCCAGCGTGGTCACATGCATAACAATATAATATGCCCGGTGTGGTCACACAAATAATAACACAATCCACCTGGCGTGGTCACATGCATAATAATACAATCCGCCCGACGTGGTCACGAGCATAACAACACAATTCTCCCGGCATGGTCACATGCATCCAGTACAAATCATATCACACAGAAGCAAATATACAAGAATACATGTATATGATCATTGAATATTAGATTTCATGCTCCTGGACTAGTATAAATGTCATGATAAGGCGTATACATGTGCAAAGTGTGCTATCGATAATTACATCACAGGAGTAGAAATTATCAAGTCCATTCATGGAATTAGCCTCTATGTAACCTCAAACATGGATCAAATAGTTCACAACAGGGTTATAAATATGAGAAACATCGCAGCATAAAGCTTAACAATCAATTCTATGTATGTCATAGCCTAAGCACTACCCTGCGAACATGCATAAATACCCTAGTGCTCGCACATGGGCCCTGTCACGACCCAGATTTCCCACCCTCGGGAGTCGTGATGGCGCCTGCTCGTGAAAGTTGTCTAAATAATCCTGGGGATCCTCAGAAGATGCACCGCTGAAAGTGGTAGTGAAGAGCTTGGTGAACCTGTCCAATCTCCACAAGGCATCGGCAGACATAACCGCTCCATAGCCGCTCTGGGCTACCACACCCAGCTGAACTGCTCCAGCTGGTTGAGCTGCTGGAGTTTGAAACTGGGGAGCCACCTGCTCCGGAGTGCGAGTAGCAGGAGTCTGGGCTCCTCCTCCAGCCTGAGAGACGGCTGGTGCTACAAGAAGCAAGCCTGCCTGAGTGACACTCTCCATAAGGCCCACTAGATGGACCAGAGCATCCTGAAGTACTGGGGTAGCAATGAACCCCTCTGGGACCTGATCTGGGCCCACCGAAACTGCCTGGGCCGGAACCTCCTCGTCAAACTCAACCTGAGGCTCCGCCACTTGTGCTGCTGCTCCGGGCTGAGCCCTGCCCCTACCTCGACCTCGGCCTCGCCCACTGCCCCTCGTGGGAGCTGCTACTGGGGGCTCGGGCTACTGATCAGCGGATGAGGAAGCGCGTGTTCTCGGCATCTGCAAAAGAACATAGTAGAAATTCAATTAGCATTGAGAAACCAAACCGCACGACAGGAAAGAATAGATGCGAAGTTTTTCCTAACTCTGTAGCCTCTGGGGGATAAATACAGACGTCTCCGTACCGATCCCTCAGACTCTACTAAGCTTGTATGTGAGTTGTGAGACCTATGTAAAGATCCCTCAGACTCTACACTGCCACAATGTCCTTTACACATTAGCGGCACTCTCCTCGCGAACGCGATGAACACCTCTACCAGACCTTCGCGAACCCGGACACACCAACACGAACGCAATGAAGACCCCATCAATACCTGACCAGCCTAGCTCAACACTACGCAAATCCATAGTCCCAAACGCGAACGCGAAGGCTTAAAGCCTCAACCCTCATGAACGTGATTCCTGCAGGCGAACACGAAGAAGACCAGCTTTCCTCTACACACACACCCTTTGGTATAATGGCCATAACTCCTTGTACAAAATTCCAAATAATAAACAATTAAATTTTCTGAAAACTAGACTTAAAGGGCGAAAACTTTTATTGCTGGATATTTATCAAATTCCATTTCAAGATATAAGCTCCCGAAGTTATACTACTAACAGCAGAAAATTTCTTCTATGCATCGTGGTCCTTCCTTCTGCAATCGCGATTCAAAGCCCCGAAATGCTTTTTGCTCTTTGCGAACGCTGCCAGGACCTCCGCGATCGCAATTCAAAATCCTACGGCCAGTTATCAGCAGCTCAAAAAGACCTAGAAGTGGTCGGAAACCATCCCAAAACTCACTAGAGGTCCGTCCAATCATACCAACAAGTCCATATACCTAACCTCAACTTATCAAAAGGCTTGAAACACCATAATTAACTTCAAAATCAAGAATTGAATGTCACAATCATTCTCTTAACTCTCAAGCTTTCAAACTTCGGCGAACGCATCCAAATAATATTTAAACATTCCGGATTACGAGAAAACTACGGACACAAGTTCCGATCAACTAAATGAACCCATCCAAGGTCCAAGAACACCAACTGGAGCCCGATAACATCAAAGTCAACTCCCAAAACTCTCCAAACTTTTAAATTGTCAACTTTCGACAAATAGAGTCAAGACTTCTTAGTAATATAAAAATTCCAATCCAAAGAAACGCCCAAGTCCAAAATCACAATATAAACCTATCGAAACAATCAAATCTCGATTCTGAGGTCATTTACTCAAAAGTCAAACCTTGGCCAACTCTCTCAGCTTAAAGCTTCCAAATTGAGAATCATTCTTCCAAATCAATCCCAAACGTCTCGAATATCGGAACCAACTATACACGCAAGTCATAATGTATCATATGAAGCTACTTAAAGTCTCTAACTTCCGAACAGAATACTAAAGCTCAAAACGACCAGTCGGGTTGTTACAGATTTTTACTCTATGGTGTTTGCTTCACGAGGTTATGCCATGTTGTTACTCTATGAACCATGTTATCTATTCTCTTATTTAATCTAATGCTTTTATTCATATCTCTATATTGCTATTGCTTTTTGCTTATTACTTGCACAAGTTTATAGTAAGTGTCTTGTCATAGCCCCATCATTACCTCGTCGAGATTAGACTTGATACTTATTGAGTGCATGGGGTCGGTTGTACTCATACTACACTTCTGCGCTTATTATGCAGATTCTGCAATGGTCATAGTGATGCTCCGAGGGGTGATTAGCTTGGACATATCAGAAAACTCGAAGTAGTGCTGCATACCCGTTCCCGGATTTTGGAGTCACTTTCCTTACCTTTGTTATTGTTTAATTGTATCAAACAGTATTGTACTTCATTTCTGAATTTATATTTAGTACTCTTTAGAAACTTATGTACTCCATGACACCAGTCTTGGGAGGTGTTTATGAAATTTGTAATTGTCTTTAGACTTGCAATGTAAATTTCGGAACTTTTACTCTTTATTTATGATATTATATTGTTAAATATTTAGTTTTGCTTCTTTATTTACTATTAAGTGTTGGTTGCCTAGCAAGTGGATTTAGGCGCCTTCACAATCCCTTAATTGGGATTTTGGATCGTGACATTGAGCTTTTCGACAATTATGATTTTGTGTTAGTAGGTAAAAGTCTTATAATTTTATTGTTCGAAAATATAATTATAAGATTTTGGAGAAAAGAATTATACTGATATGACCGTTTGTGAAACTTACCTACATTAAAAAATATAAAATATCAAAAGTCAGAAGATTTAATTAAGGTGTTAGGCAACCATCAACTTCTCCATTATATAAGGTTGCTCATGTGATCTAAATGCGCAGTTGAGAATTATCATAGTCTAAAATAAAATAAAAAGTAAAAAAGAAATCTAACACTAGACTATCTAAAGCATTTCTAACGTCCCGGGTCTTGTCCTCTGGCCTCCAAGTACATTTGATAAACTAGTTTTATTGTGTGAGACACACAATAAAACTTCTCTAGTTCATCCCACATGAAAAATTTCAGGAAACAAACGATCAAGCGGAAGTAGAGTTTGTCTATCCAATTTGTTACTGGGCCGATACACCTCTGCACCTCCAAGTAAATAACAAGGATATTTACACGAATAATTATTCATTATTTACTTTTTTTAGGACATATTTAAATTATATATCATTTATACATAATTATATATTTTCCGGCTATATTTAATTTACGCGATTGAATAAATGGCTAGGTTAATTCCTCTAAGTAAATTAAGAATGCAAAATAAAGATATTCTCAAGTCCAATGTCTCTTGGGATCTTTATCCAAATTATCGGTCGGATTCGCTGTTCACTTTTTAGATGATAAATATAAATTATATATTAATTATATACGATTATGTATATATTATATATAAATTAAAAATATGTTCTATATTCACTGATTTTTTTTAGTTCAAGTGGTTGGGTGATTTAAGTTTATTCTTCACTCCTTTCAAGTTTATCTGAAGCCTGATAATACTTTCGATTTAAAATCATTTCTAGTTACAAAGTTACTAGTATTAGTTTAATACATGTCGGTGTAGAACATATTGTTTAATATTTGTGTTGAAGTTTGAATTACCGTGGAGTTTGGATATGCGTTTCCAAAATCCTAAGTTCCTAACCCACCTTGTTTGTTCAACATAAATAGAAAAGTAAGGAAAAAATAACAAAATCGGTCCCTTATGTTTGGGAGTAAATTTAAATAATAATCCCTAAAATATATTTTTAAGCAGTTTAGTCTTTTATATTTTTTGCAAGTGAGCATTTTTAATTTCTATTAAATATTTACTAAACATTCTGGAAAAAGGATTTCACCAAAAACAACATGAAACTCCCGCCAAACATTAGAAACTATAGTAAAAAAAAAATGCACCATATATTTTAATAAACCAAAACTAGCAAAAACTGTTAGAATCCAAGGATTCGAAGCTAACAACGAGATTGTCATACACAAGGAGAGAGAGAATGAAGTTTGGTAAAATGACCCGGTGATCTCTGGAATCTTCTATTACATATATACATGATCCTACCTTGTTCCTATTCTAAAGAATAAAAAATCAGCCCAATAGAGATAATTATATTAAGCCCAACTACAACATAAGCCCAAAATACAAAATACATGAAAGTGACACTCAAATATGCTAACACCCCCCCCCCCCTCAAGTTGGAGGGTGGTTCGCCACACCCAACTTGCTCAAAATGGAGCGATGATGCACGCCCGAGAGAGGCTTGGTTAGCATGTCTGCAAGCTGCAAGCTGCTGGGGACAAAGGATAAGGACATAAGGCCTTCATGGAGTTTCTCGCGCACAAAATGACAGTCGAGCTCGATGTGCTTGGTGCGCTCATGAAAAACAGGATTCCGAGCTATATTGATTGCAGACTGACTATCACAATGTAAGGGAACTAGAATAATAAAAGTCACAAATAACTCACTGAGCAGCCTGGTTAGCCAAGCCAATTCGGCAACAACCTGACGCATTGACCTGTATTCTGCTTCAGCAGAAGAAAGAGTGACTGTATGCTTTTTTTCGACTTCCAAGTGAGAATGGAACCTCCAGGCAAAACAAAATAACCACTAACAGATCGCCGAGAGGTGGGACAAGTGGCCCAATTGGAATTACAATATGCTTGAAGAGAAAAATCAGAGGCTTTGGAAATAAGCAACCCCTGGCCCAAAGTACCCTTGACATACCTCAAAACATGATAAGCAGCACTAAGATGAACAGAGGAAGGAGCATGCATGAATCGACTGAGATATTGAACAGCGAAGGCAAGATCAGGTCTAGTATTAGTGAGGAAATTTAGTTTGCCAGCTAACTGTTTGTAGAGTGTCGGATCAGACAAGAGCTCCCCAGAAACATCTTTGAACTTCACAGCAACATCCAAGGGACTAGCTACAGGAGTGCAATCCAAGCAGTTAAACTCAGAGAGAAGATCCAAAGTAAATTTTCTTTGACATACAATTGCTCCTTCAGGCTCAGACAATATTTCCAAGCCAAGAAAATAATGAAGGTGCCCCATATCCTTAATCTTAAACTAGCTGTCCAGGAACTATTTAAGGGAAGACATCTCCGTGTCATCATTGCTACTTAGCAAAATGTCATCAACATAAACAGCTACAACAGTAATGAAACCATCAATAGACTTTAGCAAAAGAGAACAATCATTCTTAGAGACTGAATAACCCAAGAAAATGAGAGATTCACTCACTTCTAAATACCATTGTCTAGAGGCTTGCTTTAAACCGTACAAAGATTTCTTCAATTTGCATACCATATTAGTCCCAGAAACTACCATCCCTTGAGGAATCCTCATGTACACTTCTTCATCTAAGTTCCCATGCAAAAACGCATTATTTACATCGAGTTGGAACATATTCCAACCCTTCTTAAGAACAACAGCTATGATGGATCTAATGGTAGTCATTTTAACAACAGGGGAAACAGTTTCCGTATAGTCAACCCCTTCTTGTTGAGTGTCCCCTCACACAACTAACCTTGCCTTAAACCTTTCTATGCTTCCATCTGACTTATGTTTAATTTTATACACCCACTTATTCCAAATAGGTTTATTACCAGGTGGAAGGGGTACAATGACCCAAGTGTCATTTGCCTTAAAAGCCTCAAACTCTTTTAACATTGCTTCCTGCCAAACAGGATGTTGTGCTGCCTGGTGATAAGTTGTAGGTTCATGAACATTATCTAAAGCCTTAAGTAAATCTTGATTAGAGGAACTTAAACTACTAAAGCAAACTGACTTGGGAAAAGAAGCAATATAAGTCAAAGTGAAAGGTGAAGAGGAGGAAACAGTTTCACACACATAATCACTTAGGTAAGAAGGAAGGTGATGAGGTCTAGAAGGATACCTATGAGCATTTTTACGTATATGGACTGGAGAAACAAAAGAGGAAGAAGGTGCAGAAGAGGACTGCACAAAAGGAGTAGTAGAATTGGCCTGCATAGGAGAATAAGTAGAGGAAGAAGGAGTGTTGTGGTGAGAAGATGCAGCTGGAACAATCTGTTGAGGGGAAGGAATAGGTTGAGAAGATGAAGAAGTGTGGTGGGGAGGGTAAGTAGTAGGGTAATCATAATCTGAAGAATTAGAAGGACTCGGAAATAATATTTTAGGTGAGGTAGATTCTGAGTAAGGAAATATATTTTCATGAAAAACAATATCTCTAGAAAAAAGAATTTTCTTGTTTGAAAGTTGTAGTAACTTGTATGCTTTTTTTCCAGGAGGATAGCCAAGAAAAATACAAGGTGTAGATCTAGGAGAAAATTTTTCTCTAAGAGGTTTAGGGACCGCAGCATAACATAAGCAACCCAAGCTTCTCAAGTGACTGTAGGAAGGTTGAGTGCCATATAAGATTTCATAAGGAGTTTTGTCAGATAACAAGGTAATTGGGAATCTGTTTATTAAATAAGTAGCTGTAAGTATGCAATCTCCCCAAAAATAAAGTGGAAGTTTGGACTGGTATAGAAGGGCCTGGGCTGTTTGTAATTAGTGTTTTGTGCTTTCTTTCGACTATACCATTTTGTTGGGGTGTATAAGGGCAAGATGTCTGATGTAAAACTCCTTTGGACTGGAAAAATTGGGTAGCTTCAAGACTGGCACCAAGTTCAAGGGCACTATCTGTCTGAATGGTTTTAATCTTTAGGTTGAATTGGGTTTCAACCATTAGGAAGAATGATTTTACAACAAAAAGAGCATTGCCCTTGCTACTTAAAAAGGTGAGTCCAAGTACCTCTACTACAGTCATCAACTAAAGTTAAAAAATATTTGCAATTTTTGTATGTTGCGGTGTTATATGGTCCCCACACATCGACATGAATAAGATCAAAAATATGTAAAGAATGAGACTGACTATAAGGAAAAGAAATTCTTTGTTGTCTTGCAAGTGGACATACATCACAAATGAAAGATTGTCTATCACAAGATGGAACATTGATACAAGTAATTTTGTGTAGTTTGGAAAATGGCAGATGTCCTAGTCTATGATGCCACAAAATATGAGACTTATTCACGGTGACAGTATTTACATGAACAAAAAATGGAATAGGAACAGCAGAAGAATCAGCATATGGTTCTGTGGAGGTAGAGTTGAGTAGATAGAGCCCTTCAGCCATCTTACCAAGTCCCTATGGCTTCTTAAGAGAAGGGCCCTGTAGGAAACATGCAGTAGAGGAGAAAGTTAACAACAAAGATGTGTCAAGAATGAGTTTGTATACAGAAATGAGATTGTACTTAAATGTAGGCAGATAAAGGACCTTAGAAAGAGTGACAATCGAATTAATATGTACTATACCAGTAGAAGTTACTTTCACTTTGTAACATTAGGTAATGTGACAAGAATAGGAATTGGAAGGTCAGTTATATTGGTAAGTAAATATTTATTGGAGGTCATATGGTCAGTTATTCCAGAGTCTATAATCCAAGAGTCAGTATTTAAATGAGTCTTTTGACATGAACAAGAACCACAGCTTCTATGACAAAAACATGCAAGTATACCTGCAAAATTAGCAGAGGCAGTAGGGAACTCATTCTGACCTCATCGGAAACCTGGACATGTTGGAGAATGCTTATAAGTTGTTTGTATTGGTCTGCGGTTATGGTGGAAGAAGTGGGATTCTCAGTGGGATCATCAGCTTTGACCTCAGAGTTTGAGTACACATTGCCAGCAACTCTGACATTTTTATTGCCAAATTTGAAGTTCTGTGGATAACCATGATGTTTATAGCACGTTTTTATTACATGCCCGCTCTTCTTGCAATACCGGCAGAAAGATTTCCTAGGTTCTGGAGATCTCTTTGCATCAGAGTTTCCTCTTTGATACTGATTTGGAGTAGTGAAGTTGTATTTCTGATTCTGAGTATTGAGAGTGGTTTTTGGATTATGGAATGAAGGACCAGGGAGATTAGATCCAACAGAGAATGATGCTGAATCAGATTGAAACATATGGAGATTCTGAATACCCCTCTGTTTCTCATCCTGTATAACCAAAGAGTAGGCTTTGCTCACATCAGGAAGGGGTTCCATCATTAGGATGTTCCCCCTAGCATTGTTGAAGATTTCATTTAAGCCTATTAAGAACTGCATTAGCTTTAGTTTTGATCCCTCTTTATCATCTTATGCTTACCTCCACAATTTCACTCACAGCACAATAAGATTTTGTATTCAAAGACTCCATTTCATCCCAAAGCCTTTTAACCTTGTTGAAGTATCCACTTATATCAGAAGAACCTTGAGAAACTGCGCTCAGATCCTTCTGAACCTCATACATTTGAGCACCATTGGGCTGTCCATAACGTTGATTCAATTCATACTAGAGTCCTTTGGTAGTTTTCGAGTATATGACACTTTGAGAAATGTCTAGGTCGAGAGAGTTGAGAATCCAGCTAATGACCATATTATTACATTGTTCCCATTGAATGAAGAGTGGTGAATCAACATCAGGACGAGTATAACTACCATTGATAAACCCTATTTTCTTCTTTGCAGAAAGTGCAATTATAATTCCCCTTCTCCAAGCACCAAAACAACTACCATTGAATTGCTTAGCAACTATCATAATATCGGGATTATCAGAAGGGTGCAAATAAAAAGGGTGAGAAGGAGGAAAAATCAGTTCATCATCAAAATGAAGATTGAAAGACGGATTGGGATTATTAGGATTTAAAGACGGATTTTGGTCAATTTGTTCAACACGATCGCTTTGATCACCCATCACGAACACGTAGTACAGAAGTTACCAGCTTGGAATCAAATTACCCACATAGAAAGCAAACCTCAGCCATGATTAACCAAAAAGTACCTTCGTTGAGCTACACAATACAAAAAAAAATCACTTATTGAACTGGAGATCTCAATAATGAGATATTCGATCAATTTTCTATTAGAACTGGAGGAAAAAATCAAAAATTGATAGAGAACAAAAATTAGGGCAAATCACCGATGAAATCATGGTAAATCGATCTTGAAACAGAGGTAATAAGAAGAAATTACCATGAAAATCAACCACACGAGGGGAGGTTATGTGATTTCCATGGCTCTGATACCATGTTAGAATCCAAGGATTCGAAGCTAACAACGAGATCGAGAGAGAAAGATAACTGTCATACACAAGGAGAGAGAGAATGAAGTTTGGTAAAATGACCCGGTGAGAATATCTGGAATCTTCTACTACATATATACATGATCCTACCTTGTTCCTATTATAAAGAATAAAGAATCAGCCCAATACAGATAATTAAGCCCAACTACAACATATGCATGAAAGTGACACTCAAATATGCTAATAGAAACTGCACCTTAAAAGTTAAAAGGGGCACTAGACATATCGATTGTAGCTTGAATTTTGTGAATCCTAATTATAGTAGATGTTCTTGTAGGTTTAGGAAACTCATTGGTCATTATCCTTATAAATAGTTATGGGATACCAATTGTCCTTGTACGTCTAAAAAATTATTCTTTTATAGGTTTAAGAATTATTTGGGATCTATATATAAGGGTTGCAATTGGAGTTTATATTATTTTTGTTATTGATAGTGAAAACTTTTTTTGCTTTTGCCTCGAAGACATAGGCTTAGTTGAACCTCATTAGTTTTTTGTGTTATATTTTTAAAATTTATTTTGTGTGTTATGTACTAGTTAACTCATAATCTCCCGCGACAAGACACCTAGAGTGTACCAAAAATAACGGAAACTATAAACTACATCTCCGAATGTGAGTTCCGGTTAATTTTTTTATTTAATTTATAATTCTCATTAAATCTAACCATTGGAGTTTGTTAATTGTTTAAGGAATATTAAAATTATTCATTTTTTGTAAACTTAAAGATTGAAAAGTACTAAAAGATTATTATATTTTGGACCTAGCTACCTCAAATATATGAGGGATTTATTTTTGTCATTTTGTCTAGAATTAAGCATAACAAAACCTTCACTGACAACTACATGTTATTACTCCTTCTTTCAAATTAGATGGGGTATTTTTCTTTTTAGTTTGTCTCAAAATAAATGACATATTTTTAAATTTATAAATAATTCAACTTTAAACTCTTCATTTTACACATTATCTTTAATGATAAGCTTTTATAATCACACAAATATCATGACCCCATAAACTTTAACCCCTTAACTTTTTAAAATCACAAATATAATCATTTTTTTTTCTTAAATTTTGTATCGAGTCAAACTATCTCATCTAAATTAAAACGAATGGCGTATTAATTTTTGATATTGTTCTCCGATGAAAAGAAAACAATCTAGTGTTCCCTGTTCAAGTTTATCCAAAAGAAAATTTTAGAAATTAAAAAAAGCTCATCTAGACGCTAGAATCATCATAACAGAACAAAGCACACCTCAACAGTCACGTTTTTCGTTTGGTACTTGGAATCTTCATATCTAAGAAAAAAGTCCCATCCTTCGAGATGTTACTAGCTTTTTCGAGATTCCCACTTCTTTGTAAATATATTTCCTTGGACCTTACTCTCAAAACCCATCATCCTTTTAACCCAGCTCTGTTCTACCATATATCCATTAAACTTAGCTTCATTTTTTACATCTTTCTTCTTTCATAATCAAATCAATCCAGAAAGAGGAAAGTGGTTGATTGTTAAATACTCAATCAAATATAAGCAAAGGTATACATAAAGAAGCAGAGGAGAGGAGGAATATCAAAAACTTTAAGGGGATGTGCTTTGTATTTGTTTGCGATGAAGATGAAAGAGTTCTACAAAGACAGACAGCAGCAGGGTCTTGTCCTTACTGTGGAGGAATGATTCAAGCTGTGGATTTGGAGAGCCAGTGGAGACTCTGCTTTGTTCCGCTTTCTTTCAAGAAAAAACGTAAATATTTCTGCACCATCTGCACTAGGCGTCTAGTTGTCCAATAATTATTCTGATTATATTTCTTGTTTCAATCTCCCTTATCTATATATAAGTTGTAAGGAGATATCGTCCTGTAACTGTTACAACTTACAAGTTCTGATCATTTTAAGACTTTCTTTCTCTTTTACTTTTTATTTAGCTAGTTTTAGAATATGCGCAAACCCCTATTAATATGAACGCTAAAGTTTCTAAAGAGGGCATTGTATGAGTCAAAATCTGACCAACCGAGATTCCGTGTGAAAAGGAACGGTAAAGAGTTCGCTTGGGCCGAAGTCATATTCATATAATGCTATAGCAACCCGCACCTCGGCCGCGGTCGACATCGTGTGCTCAAAATGCTTGAACGGAAAATTGGGTGTTACGGGACTTTAGAGGGTCGCGTATAATAAATAATGACCGTTGGGTAAAGAAAAATACCTAGTATATAAACTTAGTGAAAAAAAGAAGAAGGGGGCTGAAACAAATGGAGACACACATATTCTCTGAGAGAGGGGCGTCTTCATCTCTCTCCCCCTACAGAGGGGCAAGAAGCAAGGAAGCTCAGGTCTTCAATATATATTGCTGGTCTCATCATATCAAAGGGGCGGGTTTCTACTTTGTTATATATCGGTGACTCTTTTTATCTATGTATTCTTCATTGTTCAATGTTGTGAAAATCATCACCTTCTTCTTTTGTAATGAAATTTAATCAATGTTACAGTCAAATCTTATACATGTTTTGTCTACTTACCCATATCTCCTTCTTAGATCTAGGATAAATTATCTTTGGCTAGGATTTACCTTAAAATCTTCTTATTTAATCAATTTAACTAAAAGCTTAACACTTTTTGGTCAAACATTTGGCGCCGTCTGTGGGGACTTTCTAGCCAAAATTTCAGTTTTCTCTAAATCTAAAGTCTGCTAGGTTTGCACTTTCCGGTTGTCGTAGCCTCGCTCTTTCATCTACAAACACCAACTTGAGAAATTCGTAAGCCAGCTTATGAAATAACCGAATCAATCTTGGTCAGATCTTTACATGAAATCAAAGTCTACTATCTATACGAAATTCATTTCTTGCGGAAGTGATGGATTCGGCATGTCGTGAGCATGAGCTGTCAAATACCAATCTGTACTTCATGCGTATGCCCCCCCCCCCCCCTTAGGAAAGGATGTTTTCCTGTTGTATGATTCTTTGAAATAACAAGCTTGTTCTACTCGCATGTACGGAATATAACTCACGTCTCCTTTACTTTTGTGCACCCTGGACGGGAAATGATCGGGACTCGAGCTCGAGATCCCAACGGGCGAGGTAAGTTATCATCCATAAGAAGTCCAAACTCAACCAACAATGGAGCTAAGCATGGGACTACCAAATATGAAATCAACGTTCGTGTATGGGACTAATTGAGTCGTCTTGCAGCACCCCTCTCACCTCGCCAACCTATCAGGTCAAGGTAATGGACGATTTCGTCTGAATTTAACTTGTTATTTTTCCTTTTTCCTGGATTGGGACAGGAACATGAGCACACTCCCAGGGGCGCGAATAAAGGACAAACACCACCAAAATAACCTACCAAGAAAACATTCCGCACCACATCGCCTCTCAGGCAACGGTCAAGCAAAACCCCCCGCACCACACCATACTGCGAATAACAGAAATGGATCAGGACAAGCTGACGATACTAAGAAACAACCTCCACAACCTAGGACTGGGCGGTGATCCCATGAAATGTAGTCTCTCCAACACAGGTAGAACATGAACGCAAAAATTTTGCACGTACGCTCGCCATGGCAATCCTATGCTGGTTCAGCCGGCTAAATAATACATATCATGCCCGAACGTCGTTCAAAGTAATCAACTCCCAGGATGCCCAGGAGCACGAGCAACAAAATTCTACGTCGGTCCTGTCAATGAAGGAACTAGATGGACTGGGACTCACCGCGATGCATAATACTCTCCAAATAAAGCAAAATTAAATAAATCGGGGCTCGCCCCGACGCACGCATAAACGATGCAACAACGAATAATGTTCTCCAATAAAGCAATGCAACAGGCAAATCTCACCATTCCACCAAGCCCGCACGTCGCCAGGCAAAGTTAAAGTTCAACCTCGCTCGAACCATAACGGGTAACAATTCGACCTCGCTCGAATTTACCCCCTTACGGCCAACGGCAATCGCCAAATTTTAACTTCGATTTTTTTTAAAACACCTGCTTTTGTACATCACTAGAGTAAAACATTTAAAGATAAATAGATGAAAAGACTTCAAAAAATTATACTTCGCCTAGAACAATTATATTTCATGAAAGTTTATCAAATTAATTTTGGGAAAAGAATTACTTATATTTTAACAATTTTATCGTAGTTATATTTGCAACCTTTTTTGGTTGCTGCTAAATAGCTACAAGAATATCCTATGTTTGTCTTACCTGCAAATCTTGTCCCACAGTTCATGCCAATTCTTTATATCTATGACTTTGTATTTGAACTCCCAACCCGTTTTTGTTTTGGCCCAAAGATGAAGAAAGAATGAGCAGCCAGAACACTGAGGCAGGTCTGCAAATCTTGTTCTTTTAACGTCACGTTAAGACTTACTTGATTCTTTAATTTTTCTTATTTATTTAAAATGATACTGCTTATAGACCTTGATTTTTCGAGAAATTTTCAGAAATCACTATTGTTTAGTGGCTATTAACTTGCTATTGCTACCATTTACGTAATTACTTCCTATAGCTATGTTTTCACTTGTTATAGAGTGTATTCGATATATTCAAGCTACTGTATTCATGAATACAGTAGCAAAAAACTCGGTGAAAAACAGCCAGCCGGCTAAACATAGATTGTATTCATAAATATTCGCGAGCTGTATTCGTGAACACAGTAACGGAAATCTGCGGAAAAAAAGGTCTCTTCAGCTGTTTAAAAACTGTAAGTGACTCTATTAACGCGATAGACTCCTAATATAACTCAACAAACTCAATTATAACGCAAAATTTGTATTTCCAGTTATAGAAAAGATTTTCAGCCGAAAAACACCTCAAAAGAGAGCAATCTTCAGAGATTCAATCTATCCTTTTTTTAGTGATATGTTTACTAAAATATTTTTTAGCGGTATCTTTACAAATAGATTTATATACAGATATGAAGTATAGCAGGTCATCTATAGTGCAAAACATATGAATACATACTGCAGATACATTTGAATACATATATACATCTTAATACATAAATTATATTAATTAAAAAAAACATATGAATACATTTTACAATACATTGAATACATACTGCTGGACAAAATAGTGAAACAAAGAGAAGCTTTGAAATTATATAATTACATTGAATACAGTTAAATATAGTGAATATGTTGAAAAAGTAGAAAAAACTAAAGACGATGAATACAATGAAATACATGGAATACAGCGAGATACATTGAATACAATGAAAATAAAGTATCTTTTTCCTTAACACCTGAATCATCATCCATAAGTTTTCTTCTCTATTCTGCATCAGGAATGTCACGACCCCGGTCCGCCCTCCGTGAACCATCGTGACGGCACCTAGTCCCTACGACTAGGTAAGCCTAAATTGCGGAAAAGAAAACCAAAATTTGCGGAAGTAATCAAATTAAAACAGAAATAAGGAAAATAAATAGTGGTTAAATGTGCCGCTCGGCACACACCATAATAAATTCTCAAAATCAATACATAAATTCAAGACCCGGAAACCCATGAATCACAAGCTAAAAAGTACTACATAGCTCTAACTCCAGAATGTCTAACAAGAACTGAAAAATAGAATGGACTAATACTAAACAGCAGGAATAGAAAGAGACTCCTCGGTCTGCGGACGCGGCAGATATACCTCGAAGTTGCTATAGCAGTCGCCTCGCCTCAGGGGTGGTAGGACTGAGTCGAAATACCTGGATCTGCACATGAAAAAGATGCACAGGAAGGGCATGAGTACAAATGGTTGGGGACTTTTCTCCTGCTTACTAGGTGCCGTCACGATGGTTCACGGAGGGCGAACCGGGGTCGTGACAAGGAAGTGTTGATTCTTTCGAAGATTTCTCAAATTGGGCTTGTTTCGATGTCGGGTAACTCTCTTGTGAGTTGTTGAATCAGCCACTGGAGATGAAATTTCGAGTTTTCTAGTGAAAGCATAACAATGGTGATTATTTCTAAAAAATTAGTAAAGAGAAACAGAAGAAGCAACGTACCAGCAAAAATCTAACAACTATAACACTTACCACAACTTTTTGGAGCAAAAAAATTTGAATCGTGAGACAATGGAGATGAATCACTGGAGAATCGTAGTTGTATTCATGAAGAAGGGACTGACGTTGAGAGAGAGATGGTGCACAGAGATCGTGGTTTCTGAAGTTGTATACTATTCGGTGGTCTTGTGAGAGAAAGAACAGAAAGTAGGAGGTAAAATTTCCTTTTCTCTTCTATAGTTAACTAGAGGGTTCAAGCCCGTGCGATGCACGAGCCTATGCCTAACATAATTGTTTGTGTTATTTGCACTTTTACAAGATTAATAAAAAAACGTTCAACACCAGATAAATATTTCCATTCTTGTTTCAAGTGTTTAATAAGATCACCAGAAAAGGAAACACTACTGTCAATTTGATTGAATGTGTAAAACATGTTAACACTTCATAGTGTTTTCATGCATTGTAGAACAAAGTTCTACAGGATAATGAAAATATTATGAAGAAATACCCGTTGTGAGTGATGAGTTGTTCACAACAATCCTACCAATGAGCATTTCCGACCTCTATAAAAAAGATTGTCTTTTTTCTCCAAGCTTTGAGAGATCATCTTTGCAACCTGCATGGCTGAGAGACACTGATGCTAACAGTTACAAGTAGGACATTGGAATCTCTGTAAAATCCAAAAGAAAAATTTCTTATGTAGATGACAGCCCCATCTTGCAGTCTCTTGATTTATCACTGTCGCTGAATTGGACGTTGAAGATGCCATCTGAGAAGGAGCCACTAAGTGCTTAAGTACCTAAAAGATGAATACTCTAATCCTTGAGAGATGCGTAAAGAAAACTATCAAAAGAGAGAAGGTATATATGTAAATAATGTAAGCTAGAGAAGCTTTTTATTCTCCCAAGGAATCCTACTAACAGACACATGCTA